ATGCTCATTATTGTGAACTTTGAATTGCATTCGACGCATTTGGCTCAACTTCTTTGTTCTTTCGCTCTGACAATCTAACTGCAAGCCTGACAATGCGTTTCAGTACTGGTATACTGGGAATATAGACGTGAAAACAGATTCCGAGATTTTTAGTTCCACTCTAAGACCACGTCGAGGTCGCATTTGTTCAAGTATTTTTACCCGTTACGCTGCGCAGGTTGGTTTAGCTTTTGTTATGGAACAAGTAATACTATTGATCTTATTAGCAAATCTCTGAGAGACCTGAGAATAACTGAATCTACGTAATGTGTTGAATTTGAGTGCGTAGCTGTGACTGCAATGACTACCGCCATATCAAATTAAGCACACGCGACTGCTCATTTGGCGTTTCGAATTAGAAATGTGAACGTGACACGAAATTTTCATAGATATGAGTGCTGGAAAGGCAGTTGCTTTTAAGTAAGTTAAGTTTTTAAGCTAGAGTAGAGCGTGCGACACGTGATTCCAATAGAAATGACTGTGAGGCACGAAATAGAACTTTATTTTCTTAACTCAAATTCAATACGAGTAAATTTGATTTTTTTCACGCTACCATCTTTAGCATACAAAAAGCGAACTCTACGCAAATGAAATTAACAGCAGAGCGTCACAATAGCTTAGCGATTACTGAGCTTTTGCATATTTAATTCATGCTTACATTTAGTTACACTTTGTGGCTATATTTTTTCCACTGGTCAATAGAAAAAAAAGTAAAAAGAAAAAAATACCTCACCAACACTTCGATGAATGTGAATCAATGACAGGCAGACGACGACAACAACAAAAGCAACAACTCAGCGGCAACGATGCTAATGTGTTTGTTATTGTTTTCGCTTATTTCTGCTGGCTATTGTCGTATCAGCGAGTTAACGAGCTAATGGAAAAGTTTATACTAGAACCTATAAAGACAGGGCACACTTACTCCTCCCATGCGAGAGTGTGATGTGTAATATTGTTCGTTGTAAGTTTCCATGTTCCGAGCTTGAACTACAATTTTAACTGCAGTATTCTAGCATTTCCATTTCGCAAACTGAATTCACATAGGTTTGTGGCAAGCATGTTTTGGAATATTTGTACTGGGTGCACATTAAATTAATGTGAAAATGGAGATCTACGACCTTATGGAGTATGTTCCTTATAGTATTGATAATTATAAACCTTCAAAGTGTTGAGCTATACCCCTTTTGTATGGGTTGTGCGCCTGTAATATTTACTTTAAGAGATTATTAAAGGATTTTCGGTATACAAATATTGAGGTGTGTTATTTTAATATGGTAAAAATTTGAAAATAATCGAATAAATAATCCTTGAATTTAAAAAAATATAATTTAATGCAGTTATTTTGTCTATATCCATGATAGATAAGCCTGGTAGACATGTCAGACCAAAATTACATGGTATCTTAAAGTCAACGGTTTGATATCAGACCATCAACATACATTTTTATTGTATTTTGTTCAACGATGACAAACTTACTAAGCTCAGATAAAAACTTTTGCCAATATTTGCTTTTTTGCCATCGCCTTTGATAAAGCCGCATTTTATTCAATTATAGGCGGATAAGAAGAGCGAACCACATAAATACATACATATTTATGTGTGTATTCATATAAATATATACACCTATCTCAATATAATAGCCCGTGCAAACTTTTGCTGGACAGTGTAAGCAGTTGGAAGGCGCAGAACTAATTAAATTGGATTTATGTTAATGGCATTGGATTTCGGCATTGAAAGCTGCGCTTAGTTTTTCTGATTGACCAGCGTCCAGGGCGATTATCGTTATTTTCTCGTATCAATATGCGGAACACTGAGAGAAAGACTGATAAAACATAACCGAATGCTTAAACAAGTTTATATACCTATGCACTCTATATATAAATTTGGACATTGTTACTTGACACGCGTCTTACTTGTGCGCGGGGGCGTGGCCCGCTGTCACTGTCAATTAGCCAAGGCTTAGACTAAAAGTTAGAGAAACTTGTCTATTTGTCACCGGAAAAAAGCAATGTGTGAAATTAATTAGCGTTCCGTTGAGGAAATACGACGTACTGAGACCTTGTTTGGGGTATAAAAAAATCTTAAATAGCTTATCGCGGCTATGAAATATCATAATCGCTGTATAATCCTTAAAATCCCTAAAATAATACTAAAGTATTTTAAGGTCGAAAATATTTAAGTGTATTGTATACGCAGAGTAAAACTGATTAGAAGTAGTTTATTGAAAAAATTACGAAAATATGGGCATGATTAAGCTTTCTTGCTCGCAAAGCGAAGAGAAATAAATAAAAAAAATTCACAATAGCTGCCCATGTATGTATATAAGCACGTAATTGTTAAAAAAATGTGTCAAAACGAGAATCAGAGAATAAAATGTAGTTGTGTGTGTGTGAGAGAGAGATAGAGAGGGAGAGAGAGAGAGAGAGCGAGAGAGAGAGAGAGAAAGAGTGAGAGGAAGGGAGAGAGAGATAGAAAGAGAGAGCGGGAGGGATCGAGAGAGAACTAAATAGAGAGATACTTTATTTTTTTCTATAAGCTGTTGACAAAACGAATGTCAACCTAAGTGTTTATATATACAATAGAAAAAGAAAATAAAATTAAACTAGAGAAACACGGAGAGAGATGGAGCGAGAGAGAGAGAGCAGCTGAAAAGGTTTGCAGTCTGAAAGAAATCACAAATGTAGATACCATTAAATTTTTATTATAATCAATAACAGATATAAGCCACTAAAGTCTACTGACGCTAATGCGATAAGAAGTTGATCCATTAAAGTTAAAATTTTTTTCAGCACTTGTCAATCAATATTCAATCACAGTAAATGCAAGTCACATGTTTTACAAGAACTCAATAGAATTTTTGAAATCAAATGCAAGCGAATACCATCTACATAAAATCCATGTAAATAATTTTCAATAATTAAAGGCTTCAATTGACAGCTTATACAGGTGTATACAGAGTGCAGATCATATTGCAATCAACGGCCAGGTGAGTCCCATCCATGAAAGTCAAATCATCGTGGCCGTTGCCATAATTGCGACCAGCTCAAGGACACGGCACGTAACATGGCCCAAAGTCAGGCATTTAAGGCAGTATATAGCCATGGAAGTACATATATATTAACGACTGTTGTCTGCCCATTTATAGGTTGGGTAGGTGTGCAGGGCCATTGTGTGTAAATATTGGCTGGAAACAGCTGAAAAAAGAGAAATAAGCATAAGGAATTTCACGCCCATTTTCGGGGCAAATAATTGTCAGCCACAAATATGGGTTAAATATCACTTATATCAAATTTATTTATGGGCTCATGAGGCTTAAGTGCCTCAGTTTGTGCGATAGCAGGACAGACGATCGATACGATGTCGGGCCTTATGTCCAAAAGTGAGTGCAAAACTTAATATTTATATATATCAAGCTGCAGTCGCGAAATGAACGTCGAAAGTGACGTCACGTTTCAAGAGGGCTATCTCGAGAGAAAGAAAAACAAAAACCAAAGAGCAGAAACTGAAAACCGGCTTTGTACGTTGACAGTTGAATGTTGATGTTGCTGCTGCAGTTGTTCGCCTTGCGTGATAAATAGTTTTTCAGGTTCTTTGTGCTGGGATTCACAGGCTGAGCCGTTGTTAACAACAGGTTCATATTGGTCCCAATCTAGAGCGGCTCATTAGGCGTCTCACGTGCTGGCTGAGTAAACCCCCACCAAAATAAAGCCGAGCCTCTTTAGCCAAATTCGATTGCTCATGCAGACGCAGATGGCGATTTAAATTTCATGCTTTAATTTGTGGTTAAGACTTTGGGCCTGGTTATATGTGCTTACGCGGCGTATTCGCAATCTTAGACTGGGGTGTGTGGGGTAAACCCTGATTGGGTTTACTCATGCTATATGTTTTTATCTTAATGCCTTCGCGTCGCTGTTTCTTGCAAGTCATGCAAATGAGCGTATTCTCAGCGACTTGTTTACACGCTCCAAGTGTTAGGCCAGCCATTGAGAGGCGGCGCTGCGGTTTCTTCAGAAATTAATAAAAAAAATAAGAAAAGAAGAAAAATAACGCTACACCAGACAGAGATAAACAAAAGCCCCAAAAGACACTTGTTAGCTTCAAATATAATTTGTTTCAATGCAGCTTTTGCGGTTACTTATTGATCTGGCGTTTTGGCAGGTTGCATGCAACGTTGAAATCGCGCGGCTGTGCCACGCGACCGGAAGTTTAAAGTGTAGAAATCAGACCAGTGCATTATCTGATATAACCTCAGCTCGCTGGTCTATATAAAAATCTATTCTCAGGCCATTTAACATTTATACAATGCAATATTTGATCAAGTGCAAATTGCCTTTGTTCCGTTGCATTATCTGTCAATAAAAACTGATAGAGTCGCATCGGCTTAGACGCGCCGATAAGCATTAGGAAACAAGTGAACATGTTGCCGCGAGTAAAAGATATAGACAATGAGATACCCTATTTCTAGTGCAGTTAACAGAAAAAGCCAGGGTGGTTTTGGTTAGGAAGGCATGTAAAATATTTGTGGGCTTATCTTGTCAACTTTTCTTTTTTTTATGAGTGCTTAGATAGCCTTTTATTCTAAAGGTTAAAGATCATATTGTAAGTAACATTTAATTGGTCACACCTTTCTGTTCGTTTATATTTTTCTAGTTTACAGGAAGCAGCACTTGGGTAATTCAATTATTTTATATTATTGCCTTTCTAATTAAGAATATGTTATGTGCTAAACTTTTCATCCTTTACCTAGCTTTATTTAAAAAAGTTTCCCATTTTGCATAATTTAAAAGTTATTTCCGAAATAAATTTTTAAAAAGGGAATATTGCAATATACCCATCTGCTTTTTTGGTCAAGAGATTATACAAAAAAAAAAAAAAAAACAATTTAGATTTCAAGCAAAGCCATGTACAGATAGAGCAACATGTGTTTATTAATGCATATAAATACATATATGAGTACTTACGTCCGTCTTTGCCTTGATTTACTTTTCGCGTCAATATTTACCGCCCATAAACAGCTGAGCTGCCTGCAAAGTGTACAACGCGAGCGTCAAATTCACACCCCTAAAATGCCGCTAAGCGATAGCAAACTGAACTAAGTACTAGACAATATTTAAATCTAAAATATATTACGTTGATCTTAAGCAAATCGTCCGAGTGACATTTGGAGACGCGTTTCAGCTCGTGCGTATAATCGATTGGGGCGTGTCTTCAAAGCCAAGCACACGCTTGGAGATAGGGCTCAATATATGCATACTTTTTTTTTTTTTGTTTTGCTTTTTGTTCTATTGCTTAATGTAGGTTATGTAGGGTATATGGTATGGGCTTAAGAAAACTTTTTATAGTTGTGTAGCGTTTTATGAAATTTTTTGGTGGATTGATTTTCTAAATAAAAACTTGCTTTCTATAAAAAGTTTTAAGGAATTCGTCAAGTTCAATTGTAGTATAAGATCATGTTCCGATACCGTTACCCTAAATGTATTTTTATAAATACTTTATGCTAGCAAAAGTTCTGAGCATAGCATTCGTGCTACACCGTTCCATTGCAAAATTGCAACTTCTGGCAACATTACGACTCTCTTTACTCATCATATTTATAGATAGACTCTGCCTCGTGCTTAAGTAGGGCATGTCAACTGCGCTTTAGCCCGACACAAAAACTCAACGATTTTTGTTTACATTTCACAGTCGCTGGTCGCGTGTTCAATGCTCCCATGATGCTCGGCTCTGATCACTTTTGCCCAGACAACCGAATACATGTATATTTGGATATATGTATAATCGCTTAGTATGAAACTGGTTGGAAGATAGAACGCAACTCGGATGAGCTCATGCCCGGAGGTGTAGGGGCTGTGCCTGGGGCTGGTACTTGGGTTCAAAGTTGTGTCGTTCGCGTGGTCATGTCGAAAGCAGCTGATTGTCATGAGTTGCTTTGTTGAGGAACTGATGCGTAGTACCGAAAACGGATAGTAAACCAGGCAATAGCTGTAAAGTCAGTTAAGTGGGTTTTACTTAACATGTGATATTCCAGTGCTGCTCCAGTAATTTAGCTAGAGAAATGTCCACCAGAGTTAAGCTACAACCCGATATTTGATTTTCTAATAAGAAGTAAACACCTTGCTAATACTTCTCATAAATCGAAATTAATATTAAAAAATTTAAAATTAACTATATTTTTTGTAATAAAACGATTATTTATTTTAGATTATACAATAAAAATGTTAAAAATAAATTATATGTCGATATGGTTTGAATATGACGACTCTTTTATTTTGTATATCGTTTTTTTTTGTTTTTCTACATTTTCGAGTGAGCACTGTAGTTTCATATACTGCTGAAATACTCTTACCCACAGTTGGGCCTTATAGCTTATCAATAGCTGGTCATTGTTTGTAATTTGCCGATAAGAACTGTTTACCCAGTGTAGCATAGGGCCGAGGCGTGCTTGTGTTCTCATAAGGTGCATGCAAATATTACAAATTGTACTCCCAAACTGACTCACAGGCACGCGCGTCTATATATATGTATATATATATACATATAAACTTGACTTGACTATATATATGAACTTGACTATATTTAAAGATTTGCTGTGTCATGGTCCGACACCAGTTGATGTTTATTTTTAATTTCACAATCAAAACACAAAACGTAAATTGTTAATTTTCGTATTTTATTTATTATTTTGAAAATAGAGCAAGGAAGAATCTTATCTCATAATTTCACACACCATCTCTGACTCTGTCCCTCTCTCTCTCCCTGTCTCTCTTGCAGTTGCTGCTCTGAGAATTTCATCAGCTGTTTCGGCCCAACAGCAACAGCTGCGGCAGCAACAGAAGAAATACTGTTTACTTGGGCCTAATAAAATTGCAATTTTTATGGTAAAGAAATTAGAGCGTAGCCCATTGTTTTGGATTTGTACAGAACCCAAATGAAAATGAGATTTGGAAAATATGCCAGCGGCAACAGCAACAAAAACAGTAGCAGCAGCAGCAGCAGCAGCAGCAGCAACAGATTGTGATGTAATGAGAGCGCAGCAAAAGTGAAGCCGCTCGCCAATTGAAATTGCAAAAATATTATACAATTTGTGAGCTTGCAACGAACTAGGACAACGGCAGCAGCAGCAGCAGCAACGGCCTCAGACGGACTTTAAAACTGATAAATACCGGCTGGCAACAGTAAGCAGTAATGTGGTCTGCAGCAGCAACAGCAACAATAGCAGCAACAGCATAAATTCAAAGTCGCTTCGGTATTAATTGAGCGGGAGCGTGGGAACTACAAATCACAGCAGCAATAGCCGCCAACAACAATCACAAGCAGCAACAAGAACAACAACAGCGACAACAAATTGCCGCTCTGTACGCTCACAGCTCTCACAGCTCTCCGAGCACAACAGCAACTGTTGCTGCCGCTCAGCTCAGAGCATTTGCTCACATATATTTTGAGGCGTTGCGGCCGATACACACGACAGTTGTGCTTGAAACGCTTCGTAGTGAAGATCGTGCTCGAATAACGCGCGGAACAGACAAAAAGAAGAATAATATAAAACAAACAAAAAAATTGTTTGCAACACATGAAATCTATAGAAATTTGATTTACATGTGGAAAAATCGAAAAAGAAATTTTTTAGAAATTTTTGTTCAATATCGGCGACGAACTCCGCGCGTAAATTAGCAAGCGTTTGCAAGAAACAAGCTACATAAATAAGAAGAGAAGAAAACAAATTGGAAAATTAACAAAAAGAAAAAGAAAAATAAGCTGTGTGCAACGTGTAAACCAAGTGAAATTTTTGTGAGTGTCCAAGAGCCAAAACAAATAGTAGCATATAAAAAGCAAAAAGTGGCGCTCAAACTGTAAAGTGATGTGCGTGCCACAAGCACAACAGCAACAACAACAACCACAACAACAACATAGACAATTGCTATCAATAGAGGAACATTAAGCGTTAGTTGCATAAAGAAATGGCCATTGATTTTCTTATCTTGGCCGTGCTGCTCATCTCGTTCATCATCAATCTGCTGGCGCTGTGCGCATTCTGGATAACCCCAGGACTGCGCACAACAGCAAATCGTTTCACCATCAATCTGCTGATCATCAATTTGATTGGCTGCTGCATTTTGGCCCCAACACTTTTTTTGAGCGGCTTCAAGAGCCTCTCCGGGCAGGAGGAACAGTTGAGCGGCGTCAATGGGGCTGGGGATAGCATTGAATTCTACTCGAAGCCGGGCAACCATCAACTAACTATACGCCACCATGGACAGCTTGTGGAGAAGGATGGCATTGTACTGCGCAGGAATATTACCAGCGGCAACAGCAACTCCAACGACAGCTCGGGGGATACAATTGAGATGATATACAAGTGCAATGCCACCTATTGTCGCGAACTGACCATCGATGAGCGCGGCGATGGCGGCATTATCATCACCGAGACGGAAACCCGGGAGGATAATCTGAGTGTGCCCGTGCACAGCAATATCTCGTTGCCGGTGGTGCAGCTGCGTTGCTGGTCCATTGACATGACTGCCGCACTGGGCGCTCTGGCGGTGCTGCTTGTGGTTGGTGATACCTGGTGTGCGGTGACCGATCCGTTGCGCTATCATAGTCGCATTTCGGGCGTGAAAGCATGGATATTCATCACGCTCACCTGGGGGGTGGGCATACTCTTTGGCGCTCTGTCCGCATTTCGTGTGCTCGACTTTGAGGCGGATACGCTGCTCAGCAGGCAGAGGCGTCTAGCGGCTACCTACTTTAACATCAGCAGCACCAGCAGCATATTCGGTGTGATCTATGCCTGTGTGTACTTTATAGTCATCATCTTGCTGCCCTTTGGCTTTGTCTGCGGCATGTATTGGCGCATCTTCAGCGAGGCGCGTGGTAATGGGCTGCGCATGCGACAGAACGGCTCCTCACCGCTGCTCCAGAGCGCACTCAATTTGACGAATCATGCACAGGCGGCGCCTGCCACGCCTTATGCGAACAGCCTGTGCGTGCATAGACATTCCATATCCTCGGCCAGCTCACATGGCGGCGGTGGCGTCATCTCTGGTGGACTACAAATGCAAATCGATCAGCGTGCGCCGCGCAGCTCACCGAGTTGTCTTCGTCGTGATTCGGCCGCCAAGGTGCTGCTGCCCACCATCTCCGACGATGGGTCCGATGTGGATGTGGAAAGTAGCCATGGCGGTCAGCAGCTTATGAGCGTGCCGGAGCAAACGGTGGCGGATCGCAATCAGAACATCTTGCTAACGCTACAAACGGCCAGCGGGGAGATCAAGCGCAACTATTCGGCCAGGCAGCTACCACTGCTGGGCACCTCGTCGCAGGATCTGCGCGAGCTGCATCGCCTGCAGGGCATACGCCAGGTGCATAGCTCCCCAAATCTGCACAAGTATACGGAGCTGCGACAGGATTCGCTAACGCTAAGTGAGGAGTGCAGTTCGCCGCATTTGCTGCAGGCACACCGACAGCAGCAGCAGCACTCGCGTCAATTGCATCAACAGCAGCAACAATTGCAGCAGCTGCCGGCACAGCAACAACTACACACGCACTTCAGCACTGGACCCCAGCAGGTTGCAGCAGGACATGCCCTGCAAATACCCGCCATACACGCCTCGCCCAAGGCGCTCAGCTACATGAGTTCGCTGCGCCATCGCCTCAGCAATGCCAGCTCGCTGTTCAAGTACCGCGAGGAGTCGCGTGCCGCTCGCATTAGCATTTTGGTGGTGGTCATGTTCGTAGTCTCATATCTGCCCTTTGGCCTTCTGGTGCTGCTGCAGTCGCGTCTGTCCGCCGCCAACTTTACTGGCTCTACGCAGCTGGCCATCTTCATGATTCTGCTGGCCAATCTCAGCTCGCCCTTCATCTTCGCCTACCGCAACAAGCGCGTGCGTCGCGGTGTCAAGCGGCTGTTCGGTCTGGATGCGGCCAGCGCGCTGCAGCGTCAACACAGCAGCAGCCTGAAGAACCATGGTCACAGCGCGGCAGCTTCAAGTGCTCCGCAGCTGCAGCGCAATAGCAGTAGATTGTCGCAGTACAGCAGCAACAGCTGCCGCTATCTGACGCCGCAGAGCTCACTG